GGTACATTATTCGTACTGACGTCCCTTTTGCCAGGGGACGCTACGCTTCATGCCCGCAGGTCTTGATAGACAGGTCGAGAGCCCTCCAAGTAGGTTATCAGCTCAGCGAAAGATGTTGGTGCACTCCATTTGCTTCGGAGTTTCTTGTTGGGTTAGTATGATTTAGATGTGTATTGTTATATATGGTGGGACTCTTTCCTGACCTTTATGAAAAACTATATATTCTTAGGGGCTTGTAGACAGATGTCATATACGTAAACGATTGTATGGCCTTGTCGGCCTATGTTCAGTGTACGAATGGTTATTTTGGACTTAGAGACTCATATGTCTTATGTATAAGTTGGCATTACGTGTTGTATTCTACATACTTCCCGACAACCTCTACGGCTCAGTTATCTTTAATAGTATGATACAAAAAAGATATGTTATATTGGTACTCGGTTGAGTAAGGTATCGGGTGCTCGTCGCAGCCCATCGGTTTGGATCGTGATAATAATCTTCTGGATAATCCATGAAGTCTATTTTGGAATGTCTTCCCGGAAGTTCCTATTAGCCCCATAATAACAGTGTATCCATTTAACCCATTGCTTGTCTTTCTTTTAGCATAAGTTCCAAAGTAATTTGCTAATAGCCGTTTTGTTCCAAGATATAATGTCTAAGATATTTAGGCCCCCAACAATTGTAGGTTTACATACTATGCCACATGCCAATAATGCTTTCTTTGAGAGTTTAGCACTACCAGTCCATAAGAACCTTCTATATGTAGCTTTTATGATCTGCACAACTTTCTTCGGGAGCACAAAGATTTGAGCCCAGAATACTTGTACAGAGAATAAGATAGATTTGATGAGTTGTGATCTACCAGAATATGACAGGAACTTGGTAGACCAAGATTTGATTCTCTGTAGAATCTTATCGAGCAAACGCTTATATTGTACACATGAGACTTTTTTGGAGCTAAGGGGAACCCCTAGATATCTAAAGAGAAGTTCTCTTTTAGTGAACCCGAGCATCTAGAAAAACTTTTATTTCACATCAGTGTTCATGCCTCCAAAGTAGACTGAACTTTTGGCAGGGTTAGCTATGAGTCCAGAAACAGTTTAGAAGTGCTAAACTGCTCAATCAAGTATCTTACTGATGCAACATCACCTCTACAGAAAAGAAGTAAGTCTTCTACAAACCCCAATTGGATGATATTCAGCTTGGCACACTTGGGGTGGAAGTTGAAATAAGGATTTTGCCCCAATTGCTTCAATACTCTGCTCAAGTACTCCATCACTAACACAAATAAGAATGGTGTGCCTCATGCCCTTTTTGGCATCAAAAGGTTTAGAAGGCTTCTTATTTATAATGATTGAGAAAGATATTGTCCTAAGTCATGTCATTATCCATCCCACAAATACACTAAGGAAGTTCAGAACACTCAGCACTTCCTCAATAAATGTCTACTCCACAGAATCATACGCCTTTTGCATGTCAATATTAAGCATACATCTTGGAGAAATACTCTTCCTCCCTTAGCCTCTTACCAGTTCATGACTCAATAAGATTTTATCAATTATAACCCTCCCAGAAACAAAAGCAGCCTGGCTACTATCAACTAGGTAATCCATAACATTCTGAATCCTCCTTGTAATAACCTTGGAAATCAGTTTGTACAGCATAGTACAACAAGATATGGTCCTAAAATTCTTAATATTATAGGGGTATTTTACCTTAGGAATCAATGTAACGGTGGTGCAATTGATAGCCTTATGCATCTATGTGGTTTGAAAGAACTGGATCAAAGCATTTGAAACATCCTCACCAATAATAGGCCATGCTTTCTTGAAGAAGCAGGCATTAAAACCATCACATTCTGGGGACTTTAGATCAGATATATCTTTCAAAGCAAAGTAGACTTCTTCTCTTGTGACTAGAGCTATAAGAGACAGTTATTGTTCTCTATTCAGAATAGAGCTAGCAACTAGCACACTAGGTGTAATTGCAGGTAGTTGTATAACACAAGTGCCTAGCAGTCCCTTGTAAAATCCAATGACCTCTTCTTCAATTGTCCTGTCAGTGTGTACCACATCTCCACTAGTAGTGGTCAGCCTATTAATGTGATTCTAGGCAATCTTATTCTTGAGATAAGCATGGAAAAAAGCTAAGTTGGTGTCTCCTATACTCTGCCATTGAACTCTAGATTGTTGCCTCGGGATACTTTCCTCTACTTGGATCCATTTCTCTAAGTTGAGTTTAAGCTCTTTCTCTATATCATATAAATTTGGTTATTGTAGTAGGTTCTTAGCTTCTCTTGAATATCATATAGATCTTGCCTGATATTTTGTATCCTCTACTCGATTTTACAGAATCCATGTTCGCTTAAAGACTTCATTCCTTCCTTCATTAGTTTGAGCTTATGCTAGACCTGTTCCATATACTCCTTGTACAGTACAATTTCACACAGTAGAGACAATACTAAGAAATTTTGTATGAGTTACCAAGTGATTCAGGAACCTAAAGGGTCTTGCCACCTTTCTTGAGTTCCTACTGAATGTAATGCAAAGCATGGAATGATCGGAAAAATAAGGGTCTTTAGCTTTAACCGCAAGTTGGGGCCATAGAGACATCCAAGAAGGATTGACCAAAGCTTTATCAATTCTGCTATGAATGTGTGAGTTAGTCCAAGTATAGAACCTTCCCACTATTTTCATCACTGTTAGGCCAGTTGACCCCAAGAATTTCTCAAAATCTTTCACCTCTTTATCTTGTATTGCACTTCCTCCCATTCTGTCATCAGGCTGGAGTACTACAATGAAATCTCCCACAATGAGCCATAGGCTCTGAATAATGGGCTACATTCCTGTCAGATCCTGCGATAGGTGCTTCCTATCAACGATTGTATGAAGGCCATATATTATAGTGAATTCAAACTCAATAGCACAATCTGCACTTATGATAGCACAGTGAATGAACCGAGAGCTTGTATAATGCACTGTAACAACAACCTGCCCGTGATCCCATCCATACTAGCCAGATCCTTCCTTGCTGATTAGTATCATAGTTATCATTCCAACTCTAGGTAGGAAAAACTTTCTTTATAATCCTTCAGGCATTTTGTTAATGACTTTATGTTCTGTAATGGCTAAAACTACTATTTTCTCTTTATTTACTATCTTCTTCATCTCCTTATGCTTAAAAAGATTATTGAAACCCCTAACATTCTAAGTAGTAATAATCATTGATGATTGTTGTGGGGGCCAGGAGTCTTTACTCCTTGGCTAGAGTTGTATCTTGTGTCCACATTTCCTAAAGTTGCTTGCAACACCTAATGAAATGAGGTTCCTCTCATAGGGATGACACCATTCTCAATATCCACCAGGTATTGACTACTTTCATCGAGTACCTGAGGCCTTGAAGCTGCTTTCCCTTTTACTTTTGTCCATCCCTCTTTTCCATTTTCAGGATCACCCTCCACCTCCTCTAATGGCACCTCAGGTATTGCTAGTTGGGTATCCTTTCTTTTCCAAACTTGCTTAGTCTTCCTTGTCTCAATCTTGACTTGCTTAGGTTGGTTCTTTACTTGCTCGACCTAATAGATATTATGAACTGTTAGCAAAGCAAACACTATTGTATTGATTCAAATAGAAATACCAGTACAATAAGGTTAAGGGACAGTTGTTGCTACAAAAATAAAGAAATAATAGATAGGGATAGACAGAAAGAAACAAAGAGATGAAACAGAGCCACAGACCATAGAGGGAGAGGGGGTTTCTTAACAACTTTTTAGCCTGCCTTTCCACTACTTGTACTATTCTATATATACTAGATAATGGTCCCTAATACTAATACTATGATGCCTTGCACACCAAGTCCTTAGCCAGCACTCCAAACGTAATCAACCAACTTTTGGGTTGGTTTCCTTGTTCTCTTACTTCTTCTTGGCAGATCTTCTAGCCCAGTTGCCAATTCCTCTTGCATCCCACTTTCCACATTGAGCCCATCAATATTATTGGCTATAACAATACCCCCATCTCAAAATTGAACCTTGCCCTCAAGTTTTGAATTTATCTGTTACGTGTCATCTTGAAGTTGTAAGGGTGTAACTTGATTTTCAAGGGTACCAACACACTTGCGCAACATAGAAACATGAAACACAGGATGTATTCTTGCTTAATCAGGAAATTCTAACTTGTAAGCCAACAGGCCCACTCGTTTCAGTACCTTGAAAGGTCCGAAATAGCGTCGCCCCAATTAATGGTGTCGTTGAAGTCGCACGGAATGTTGTCGATACGACTTCAACTTCACATATACCCAATCACCCACCACGAACTCAACATGCTCACGCTTTCTATCATCATACTCTTTAATTTTCTGTTGAGCCTTGGCAAGGTTGTGCTTCAAAAGTTCCATCACATCATCACGCTGTAACAAAAATTTTTCTAGAAGATCATTGGAGTTGCTTCCCAAGGCATAACGTACCAAAGTAGGGGGCTCACGACCATACAGAACATGAAAAGGAGTCGTGCCCGCCAATGTTTGATAAGCCATATTATACCAATATTCCGCCCAAGGCAAAAGGGGAAACCATTCATGGGGGATGTCAACCACAAAATAGCGTAAATGTTGTTTGACACACTTATTTAACTCTTCAGATTGTTCATCGGTCTGAGGGTGATACGCCGAACTCATTGACAATGTGGTGCCCTGCAACCTATGAATCTTCTTCCAAAAAGAATTCATGAACCTGGGATCACGATCAGTGATAATGATTTTTGGATGGCCATGAAACCGAACAATTTCTGAAACAAAAGCCATGGCCATAGTTTGAGCAGTGAAGATGGAAGGAAGCGCAATAAAGTGAGCATATTTCAATAATCTGTCCACAATAGTCATAATGGTGGCCTTCCCTTTAGAGCTCGGCAAACAAGTGATAAAATCCATAGTGATTTCTTCAAACACCAGATCAGGGATTGGTAATGGCTGTAACAGCCTAGCAGGTTGCTTCAATTGATCTTTCATTTGTTGGCAAACTTGACACGAAGCCACAAAGGCCTGAACATCTTTTCACATTCCCTTCCAAAAGAAATTGGAGGAAAGGCAGTGGAAAGTGCGTGCGACCCCCGCATGACCACCAACCAAGGAAGAATGAAATTCATCAAGAATTGGGTAGAATCAGAAAGTACCACCAAACGCCCTCGGAAGAGTAGTAGTCCATCACGAAAAAAATAGTCAGTTGCTCCATTTGTGGAATTTTGCAGTAGCTGTTGTACCGCTAAAAGCTCAGGATGAGACTGATTTTCACGCTGCAATTCAATGACAATATCAAGTTTGCGACCCGAAATAGCTAGGAATGAGCTTTCAAGAGTCCGTGACAAAGCATCTGCAGCTAAGTTATTTTTCCCGGGTTTGTACAGTATCTTGAAATCATACCCTACCAACTTGCTTAACCATTGCTATTGCTCTGGAGTTTGAATCACTTGATTCATCAAATTTTTTAAAGATTGTTGATCAGTATAAATTGTGAATCGCCTTCCTAGGAGATACTGCCTCCATTTGCTGACCGCTTGAGTTATGGCAAATATCTCCCTATGATAGGTGGATGCTTTTCACATACGAGGACATAGTTTGTGACTGTAGTAATCTATTGGGTGTCCCTTTTGATAAAGAACAGCTCCAACGCCCGTACTGGATGCATCTGTTTCGAGATGAAATTCCTATGAGAAATCTGGAAGGGCAAGGACTGGAGTAGATTCTAAAGCCTGCTTGAGTGTCTCATAAGAAACTTGTTCCCGTTCGTTCCATTGGAATGGTTCCTTACGAAGCAAATCTATCAAAGGTCCAGCAATGGTGGCATACTGACGAATAAATCTCCGGTAATGGCCTGCAAGACCCAAAAAACTACGAAGCTCTTTCACATTTCGAGGGCTAGGCCATTGCAAGATGGCCTGAATTTTTGTGGGATTTACTGCCAAGCCATTTGCTAAAATTACATGCACTAAAGCACTTCGACTCTTTTGCCACCAACTGATGGTCTCTCAGTAGTTGGAGAACCAAAGACAAGTGCTCCAAGTGTAAGTCCCAAGATCCACTGTAAACTAGAATATCGTCGAAGAATACCAAAACGAATCGTTGAAGATGTGGCCTAAACACCGCATTTATGGTGGCCTGAAAAGTTGACGGAGCATTGGATAACCCGAAGGGCATGACTAAGAACTCGTAATGTCCCTCATGAGTTCGAAATGCCGTTTTTGGTACATCTTCGGGTCGGACACGAATTTGGTGATAGCCTGATAATAAATCTAACTTTGAGAAATATCTTGCACCATGAAGCTCATCAAACAACTCATCAATGGTCGGCATAGGGAAATGATCCTTTACAGTGATATCATTTAGGGCGCGATAATCCATACAGAATCTCCATGTGCCGTCCTTTTTGCGCACTAACAATACTAGAGAAGAGAAGGGACTAGTGCTAGGGCAAATCACTCCTTCCTTCAACATCTTAGAGACAAGTTGTTCCATCACTTGCTTTTGAAAATAGGGATATCTGTAAGGTTTAACCTTCACTGGACCTACTTGAGGCTGCAAGTGAATTGCATGATCTTGCGTTCTGGATGGAGGCAAACCTTGCGGTTTACAGAAAATATCTTTGAAAGTATGGAGTAGAGACGACAATTCCGTAGGATAATTTGGAGTTGTAAGTGCTATATCAGCTACTAACTCAAGCCGAATAACATGATATGCCATCCAGTTCTGCCAAACGTCGAATACTCTGTAATTGGACTGGTTGCACGTCAATGGGTGGTTCCCATTCCATCTGTAACGATTGCCACCAAGGGAAAATTCAAAGATATGCTCATGATAGTCGGTAACCACCGGACCTAATGTTGCTAACCAAGATACCCCTAAGACAACTTCCGCACCATGTAAATCCAAGACATAAAGGTCCAAAGTCAAACTACATTCCTGGACCAACAACTTCATATTTCGTACTACTCCCGCACAAGAAAGCCTTTGGCCACTACCAACTACCACCAAAAATCGAGGTGTGGCTTCCACCTTTAGATTCAAAAACTTAGCAGCATGAGGTTGAATAAAGTTATCTGTGCTTCCCCCATCTACGAGAACATGGAGATGAGAACCATTAATTTCACCTTTAAAACGCAGGGTAGTAGAGGAATTCCCACCTACCAATGCATGATATGAAATTGCAGAGTGTTGTTGGACCTCGAGATATTGTAATTCCTCAGCTAAAACTTCATTTGTAACAAAGAGATCTGGAGGAATGTTAGGATCCGAAGGACCCTCTTCTAATAGAAGAAGCTGAGGTAATGTTTTACATTTGTGACCCGGTGAATATCGTTCATCGCAGTAATAGCAAAGCCCTTTTTCACATCGTTATTGCGCTTCCACTGGCGAGAGGCATTTCAGAGGTAGCTTAGTTTTTGGGGATTTGGACGTGGAGTGAAAGGGAACAAGGGTTGTAGATGGTGGGTTAGGCAAAATGGGTTGAGAGTTAGTGTATGATGGCTTAGAATAAGTGGGCCCTTTTTCACAATTAATCTATTGTTCATGGGTATGGGCCTGGAAAATTGTTTGGTCTAAGGTGGTAGGGTTATGGGCCACTACTGAGGACTGGATATCAGGGCGAAGCCCAGAAAGAAATGTCTGTATCAACCAGTAATCGGAAACACTTACCGTTTCATTTGATAAGGCCTCAAACCGAGCTTGATAATCAGCGACGGTAGTGGATTGTTGCAGCTTTGCTAAACGACCTTCAGGACCCAGAACTTGCCGCTACTTAAAACGAATGACCACTTTTGCGGCAAAATGGTCCCACTCGACCAATTGCTTGTTATGATGCAGCCATCGGAACCACTCAAGGTACTCACCTTCGAGATAAAAGGAAGCAATAATGAGCTTCTCATTCTCATTAATAAAGCAAAAATTAAAATAGCGCTCAACCTGGAAGACCCAAGCCTCTGGGTTATCTCCATTAAAATGACTTATCTCAATCAAAGCACGTTTGTGGTGGAGAAGAGGTGACGCACCACTTGCAGTAGATGAAGGAGCGATGGCACCCAACGCCGGAAACTGAGAAGGAACACCAATTGTTGGCCTAAGATGAGCAGTTAAGGCTGCCATCTGAGACACCATTTCCTGCATAAAGGCTGATTCAATTCCACAACCGAACAAAAAGGTGCCATGTCCGATGATGGAATAGAGCTACGGCCAGGAGTGGACTGTGAAGGGTCGGCCATGGAATGTTTTGGATCACCCATGAAAAAAAACAATGAAAGCACCAAAATGTTATGAAATGTTAGCAAAGCAAACACTGTTGTATTGATTCAAATAGAAATACCAGTACAATAAGGTTAAGGAACAGTTGCTGCTACAAAAATAAAGAAATAAGAGATAGGGATAGACAGAAAGAAACAAAGAGAGGATACAGAGCCACAGACCATATAAGGAGAGGGCGTTTATTAACAACTTTTAGCCTGCCTTTCCACTACTTGTACTATTCTATATATACTAGATAATGGTCCCTAATACTAATACTATGATGCCTTGCACACCAAGTCCTTAGCCAGCACTCCAAACGTAATCAACCAACTTTTGGGTTGGTTTCCTTATTCTTTTACTTCTTCTTGGCAGATCTTCTAGCCCAGTTGCCAATTCCTCTTGCAGCCCACTTTCCACATTGAGCCCATCAGTATTATTGGCTATAACAATAGATATTGTCCAAGTTGGCAGCATACTGGATAGTACTGAGGCCACCATTCATATCTAACCTTTTGGTCATAGGGGTTTGTAGATGATTGACAATTTCAAGAAGTAGGATAATTATATCCATTTCAATAATTACTTGAGCACATAAATGTCCCGACCCCGATTCACCCTCTGTGAATCATCATGACGGCACCTAATCTTTATGACTAGGTAAGCCTAACAAATGTGGAAAATAACAATAACTTGCGGAAGAAGTAATTAAAAGACAAAATAACCGAATGAAACAGTATTTAAAATGTCGCTTGGCATATACAATACAATTTCTCGAAAACTAACAACATTTCCCGAAACCCGGAATCTCCTGAAACCACAATCCTAAAAATTCCAAAACTCTAAAGATATGCTTTCGATCAAAAAGTCTATCAAACCTCGTCCGAATGACCTGAAATTTTGTACTCACGTCACATTCAACACCACGGAGCTACTCCAACTTCCAGAATTCCATTCCGACCCTTGAATCAAAATCTCACTATCGAACCGAAAACTTCAAAATTCGACCTTTCGGCATTTCAAGCCTAAATTAGCTACGGACCTCCAAAACACAATCCGAACACTTTCCTAAGCCCGAAATCATCCAACGGAGCTAACAGAACCATCAGAATTCTATTCCAAGTCCGTCTTCACACTGTTCCGAATACGGTCAAATTTCCAACACTTAAGCTCTTATTTAGGGACTAAGTGGCCCAAAACTCTCTGAAACTCAAAATCGAACATCCCGGCAAATCAAAATAACATAAATAAATACAAGAAAAGCTATTAATAGGGGATTGGGGCATTAATTCTTAAGACGATCGGTCGGGTCATCACAATAAAATCATCTCTTTACGAGAGGTGCATTCATCAGCACATAGATGAGTGTCCAATACACTAGCTAGCCTGCTTAGAGAATTGGGGCTCCAGCAACACAAGGGTAAGTTAGGAAATGTTACCCATAGGAAAATTATTTTGAGTATCTCCTCAATGAAATTAAAATTGGAACTCTAGGGTATGACAATCACAGGTTTACTATTCAGCATATGAGGTCCGAACATCAAGACATTATTGCTATCACCACGGCTATAGAATAGTATCAAAAAATAACCATCGTTATGGTAGTATATGTGAGGCTTATGCTAAAACGTCCACTGGCTCCTTAGGAATCTGGTGAGTGCCCCAATAGTTGGAGAATCCCTAACCACATAGAGTATCAGTGTATATTTCCAAGTTTCAGATTCCTTTTCGCTATCAGCTTTATCAAATTGAACCATTTTAACACCCTTTTTTTTTTATTATCGAAGCAATAAATTGCAGATTGATACCTTTGAAGCTACATGATTCCCTGTGAATAGATTTGCCCACGTTTTCTTCTCTTCCATAGGTGGTGGTGGCTGCATTGCAAGCTCAGATTTCTGTGGACTAATAGACAAAATCGGCGGAGAATTAAGTTTCCCAACGGGTAAGGCTATTTGCACCTTAGCCACTCCGCTTTGATTCACCACACTAGGGTTTCCCCTAGAAGTCCCAACATTAGGCGGAGTAAGCATCACACCTAGTCGCTCCATTTGTGCCTGAGCTTTGAGTATACTTGATTGTTCCAATTGAGCAGTGGCCACATGCATAGCATTAACAGTGACAATCTCATCCGCAACATCAACTAGCCTTCGTGTCCCTTGGCCAATTGAACCGGGGCCTGTGCCGTGTTATGTATCTTCCGTGGTCGGCCTTTCGCAATGCCGTCGTCGGTGGCATACGCTGATTGCAGCACTAACGTGCGCCTATATAGAGAAAGGGTACTCTGTTATCGTGCGCCAAGAGAATTAAACTTTATTTAACTTTAAAATTAAAACATACTAATCACTCTTTACGGCTCAAGAAAATGACAATGTTTGAAATATGAGGATTAAAATATTTAATTTTAATTTGAAACTGGAACCCAATTCCATGACATCTTTTAAGATATATAGTTAAACTTCAAAAATTACTATAAACCATATTTTATATTCATACTATATTAAGAGATACTTAAAAATGATAAGTAAAGAAATAATTCTTACATCCAAAATAATGAAAGTGTAAAATAAGCAATGATCGAGAGTAGCTATTGTTGACTTATATTCAACTATGGGAAGTAGGGCTACTTAATTTCCTTATTGAATTCAGGAGTGCCTAATGATTTTCTTTAGCGTATAATCTTCGATGTTTGATGACTAAAATATTCAATATTAGTATGTTTGATGATTGGAACCAGGATTGGATTTTCAAAGAAAGAGAGGAGGAATGAAAACAAAAGAACATAAAAAGAAACAAGAAGAAACATAGTGAACACTTTTTTGCTTATTTTGTCGTTTCTTTAAATAAATTGGCCTGGGAAAAAAATCTGCTTACACTAATCAAATTTTAGAACTTTATATAAAAGCAGAAATAATTCTCATGGGATTTCTGCATATGTACTGTTTAACCTAAAACATGTTTTTCGGTCAAACTCTAATTTTAGAAGAAAACGAATTACTGATAACCAAGTTTAGCTTCACTTGCTCAATGGTATCAAAGAAAAATAACAATAATAACTAAGGAAATAATTGATTGCAGAGTCAAAGCAGAAAATTTCGAGAAAGCAAAAAGGTAAAGTGTATATTTCAATGTTGTCTTAGATGTGTCCTTACATATAACATTCTGTGCTCTTATATAGGAATGTACAATAGTAATAATTTTTCCCCCATAATTTGAGCTAATTATGGGTATTAATAATATTGATTGCCCATTATTTTGGATTCTCATAACCGATGTATTTATTGCTATAAATGCCTTACATCTGTTACAATTCTCCTTCTTTATTTCTTTCTGGTCCATGTATCTTTCTCTATTTCTACTATTTATTCATTCTTTGCCAGCTGTTAGACCTGGTATTGTCTCGTGGGTGTTTCTTCTCGTGCATTTTCTTACTCTATCAAATAAGACTGCCACGTGTTGTTGTATCATTATTCTACGCGTTATGCCATGGAAGCAGTCTAATATTCCACGTATAACTCTTTTTCACCACCAATACAGATAGTCCCCCCACTTTCTTGAATATTCTCTTCTGAATATTCGAGGAAGTGGAAAGTTTTTATGGCGGGAATTCTCTGCCGCCATTTTCGAATGTAATCATACCATTTTCTGAACCGTTATGACATTTATCGCTTTCACTTAATGATCATGCCACGAGGCTTTTATCAATTGGTCCTTCAGTTCTTCAGCATCTTTTGGGATTTTTCTGCAGCCATATCAGTCATTAATTGACGACTCCAATATGATGCTTCATAATGACCTCAATAGTCGTGTCTTCTTATAAATATTTCACTCCTTTTTTCTAATTTTCTAAAGCCTTTCCTTCTCCATCTTCTTGTCTTACTTCTTTCTGCACCCTTTTCTTGTGTTTCTTTAGTTAATCATAGGTTCCCCTGATCCTCGCAAAGTTATCACTATTGATGAGTTTGCTTCCTCCAATGTACCTACTAGAAGTAGAAGAGGTGGTAGATTGTGTAGCCTCGGTTCTAGTTCTAACCGTGGTTCTCCTTCTCAAAGTAGTGCTGTCAATCCATCTTCTTCTAGACCTAGGGCTTCTACAACTCCAAGATCTTCTTCTAAAGATAAAGATTCAACTGAAGCTCTTCGTGAACCCACTATTGATGAAATTGTTCCCCAAGAGCTATCATTTGTGTCTGATAGTGAATCCATGAAGAGTCAAGTCTCTTCCATGGTTGCTTCCCTTGATTGTGCTGATCGTTACTCAACTCTGATTACCAATGGTCTTCTCACTCTGGTTCGAAGAGAATGTAATTGGAAACCCGACTTCCTAATTTTAGTCCTTGGTTCTAACCCAAGAATAACTTCATACCAAACTGGTTATTCCTTCGTTTATACATACCCTTTTACCCTAAATTTAAACCTCTTATTGTCCCTGTAATCATTGAGTTATGTCATTACTTCAATGTGTGCTTAGGACAGATTGGTCCTATTGTTTGGAGAGTTGTTGCATGCCTCCATTATTTATCAAACATGGCTTCTATGCCTTTTACTTTTCATCACCTACTCCATCTTTACTCCTCTAAACTATTTCATGATGGAGTATTTTCCCTTGTGGCAAAAGTAAGAATAGTTAGCCCTGAAGATGATAGAGATCGAGGCTGGTATGCTCGCTTTGTTGTTGCTCCCACTAGTTCTTTGGTGGGTGAAGAAAACATGTCTTTTCCAGAAAAGTGGAATTTTGCACGTAAGTACTTGCATTTTTATCTTTTTCCTTCCTCAAAGATTATTCACATGTATACTCTGCCTATTTTTTCAGTAACTATGGAAGTTTTTAAGGAGATCCCTGACATTCGTGCTTGGGTAGGAGAGTTATTATCTGTTGCTCCTATGGAGAGAAGACCTTTGAAGTATTTCTCTCAAAGGTTTGGGTGAAAAGTTAAGACACACGGTACCTTTCCCCACTTAGTCTTCTTCTTTCTCTCTTTTGTTCACTTAAAAGTTTCTCTCTGTGACCCTTTTCTTTTGTTAGGATTTCCCATTCGTATTGTTAGTCCCACTTACGTTTCATCTACAAAGCTTACAGTGAGTCTTGCTCAATAAAGGATTTTGAGCTCTTCATCGAAGAGAAAAGTAGACGGAGCCCGTAACTCTGAAGGTGAAAAGGAACAACAAGAGAGTTCCTTAGTGCGCAGGCCTCGGGCTAGGAGGCGCGTTATTTCAGATGATGAAGTCACCCCTCCTCCAAGTTCAGTTCCATTGAATGAGCCTGAAGATGCTACTTTAGTGAGTTCTGATGAAGAGATGAATGCTCCCCCTCGTGACTTTACTGATCAGCTATTTTCCTATGGTTTGATAGTGAAGATTTTGGTCCTGTTTCTGAAGAATTACCCATTGCTTCTCTTCCAGCATCAGTCCCAATTCGTTCTCAATCTACTGTTCATGTTGTTGTTGCTACCGCTCCTGTCGTGCCTGCTTTCACTTCCTCAATTATCCCTGTTGCTACT